ACAAGGAATTGGAGATGCTTTTAAACACTGTCATGACTGTAAAGTGAGGACCGAGTAGCTCCCGCCCCAAATATAGCAATATTTTTGGTCGGATCTGGCTCCTTATAAAGGTGGAGGATAGCACGAAGAGTCATCTGGAGCGGTACAGATATTCAATCATTTTAAAAAATTTTTAGAAAAGTTCCAGACTATGAAATGAGACAAATATACAAAACATAATCTCTTCATAATATTTTTAAACTTTGAAAATCCTCCCTCTAAACTTTCTTTCTGTCTTCGTATTTTTGTTAAGTTTCATTCAGTTTTTCTTAATTTTCCACCTCGTTTATCATTTTCTTTAGCACTAACTTTTCTCTCATATTTTTGTACTTTACATTTTCCCTTCCTTATCTCACTTATTACAGACTAGAAATTTTAATTGTTTTCTTCCTTCTATACTCTAATTAATGACGTGTAATCCATAGCCATTATTGTCTATACGTAACAATTGTCTGTTATTAAATGTTCCTTCTCCCTTAAATTGCTTTATGTTTCTATAAACTCTTTTTTTTCTATCACCTAAATTCACTACCATTGCTATTTTTCCTATTTCTATGTTATGACCCTTCTCTCATGATTATTATTTGCCAACAACACCCGCTATCTTGATTCGTGCAGATATTCGTCAGTCAACTGTATTTACATTTTATGAACGCCGGCATCTATCCTTCCAAACATCAAATATTTGCTTACCTAGAAACTATAAAGACAAGTGAATGATTGTGCTTTATCCGAGACTCTGTATTCCCCCACCAAACCTAACATCGGTTAAAAATGACCCTAGCTCATGTACTGGCCAAAGCAGGGACAGCAAATACGACCAACTATTTATCAAACATTGGCTATTTACAATATATAGCACGATGCAGAGAGGAATATTTTAGACACCCTCAACTTTTACTCTGTTAAAACTTAAACACTTTCTCTGAAGCATCATGCCCTAACTTGCTACTCCTGCTAAGACCTTGAATGTTTGCTGAGTGATATTTTGGGTTATGTCTTACAAGTACATTCCCTCATGATGTTTGAGTCGACAAAGAGGAGCGACTGCGTTTCTTTTGTTCGTCAAAAGCCAAATGAAAACATTCCGATTGAGGCCTCTTCGTTCATATTATTATTATTATTATTATTATTATTATTATTATTATTATTATTATTCACACCAATGATAATTCATAGTTTATTCTGGGAATTAGTTGACAGCAAGGTTCTTCATTCTTCAGTTATTTCAATTTTTTAATTTTCAAATCTTTCAACCTTTTTTAAAGCTGTTCTAAGCATGTCCATAACAAAATTATTAGATTCATCCTCCACATCTGGATTCTTTATCTTAATTCTATTCCAGATCTAGATATTTAATAAATTATTAGATTTACACATTGAGTGCAAACACACACACACACAAACACACACAAACACGCACACACACGCACAAACACACACTCGGTAGGAATTCATGGTTTACACAGATTAGGTAAAAAGTCTCCTCAGTAATACCAACTGGTTTCAGTCATGATATTTTCTGGGAAGTTCCAAATCCTCCATTGATTTACATTTCCTCCAGGCTATTTACGAAAACATTCTGGCTCATTCCAGAGTACTCTGATAATGACTGGAACCACAATTCCTAATCTCCCTAGTCAAGATACTTTTCTATCTTTTACACTTTCGTTCAGATCTCTGGTTTATTGGAACAGCGGAATTTTTTATTTTACATGTTTTCTTTTGCCAAATCTAGTTTTCTGCTCTGAATTGGGGGTCCATTTAGATCTCACTGCCTCAGATAGCATATTCTTTAGGACAAATTCTGGTCTGTGCATATACCATTGACCAGTATACTCAAAATGCAGTCCCTTGTACTGGGGTGGGAGGATATAATGGATCACTCCCGCGCCCAATCATGCTTATTTTCATATTCTCTCTGTGCCAATATGCTACATTTGCTAATTATGTAGCTGAGTGTCTTCTTTATTATTATTATTATTATTATTATTATTATTATTACTCGTGCATTGAGTGCTCACACCGATAATCATTGATTGTTTACACATTAGATTAAGTGATAAAAAGTCTCCTCAATAGCCCAGCACTTTCCTTAGTATTCGCTTTTCGGCAATGTTGTCATTTGGACATTTTTTAACTCTTAACAAACTTCGACGGGTATTGCGTTTTTGTTTTCATTATTTTTGCTCCTATTTGCGCTTTCGGGGGGAAATAACCACGATTTGTAGCAAGTCAGTTGATAGATTCTAAAACTTTTTCTATATTTTCTTGTTATATTATGCATTATATATACAATGTTACTTTTTTACGCTCACATCATTGTGGCACTTTTAGAGATAGATACGTTTTATTAGTATTTTTTATATATTGTGACTGCTTTCTTTAAAGTTTCTTGATTTCAGATGAAAACTTAGAAATTTGATAACATATTTCAGTGAAAGTTTCATTTTTTCATTTACAAGTTATATATAATGAAAACAATTTTTCATTTCAAACTACCGTCAAGAGGATATGGTAATAAAGCTCACTTCTGTCATGCTCATTTTAATGGACGCTATTCAGTCGAAGATATTTATGTTGTTAATTGAAAAATATATGAAGTTTATATACATTATCAAAAGCCATATATTTTCATTAGGCTGAAGTTCAAATGGACACTTTTCCTTCATTACAAGTAAATAGAAGAGCCTTGCTTTTTGTGTGAGAGAAGTGAACTTCGAACGCTCTGACGTCCGTAGTGTAAACTCGCGGCCGTTCAGAGTACAAACATTTAAACGCAAGCATATATCTTGGCAACGACTGCAAAAATACATCTACTGTTGAAAGTCTTACACAGGTGAATATAGACGGATTGAATCAAAGGGGAAACATTATTATGTAAACACACATAAATACACACATATACACGTACATAAACACTGAATATGAATTTCGATGCCAATTAAGACAAACCACCATTGGAAATATAAAAGCTGCAGAAACGAATGCATGTTTGTGCATATATACACGTTATAACACTCACATCCATGCTTTACCCTGTCCGTTCAGATAGGCAAAGAAGAACAAAGTGTGACACATGCATACCTTAAAATGTACTGTAAAATCTACAGTTTAGATACAAAGGTGGAGTACAGAGCGTCATTTTCATCAGCCACAGTTACGGTTAATTGCCAAATTCTCCAAACCCTTTTTCCTTATTATGTGTCCGAAAGATTTCAATGGTTTTTAAGAGATTTTTGCTCCCACTTTTTCCAGAAATTTCTCGTTACACACATGTTCAGTCAATGGTATTCTCAGCATCCTTCTGTAGAACCACACCTTTGTTGCCTGAAGTCCTTTCTTCATCTGTGAGGAATTTGTCCAGCATTTACTGCCATATCGGAAGATTGATATTGCATAATATTTCAGCCCCCATACAACACTAACCACTGAAAATCAAAAGACATTTACAAATAAATGGCTTGGCATCGGTCATCAAATTCAGAAATTCTAATAGGTAGAATGATTGCACCAAATGGAGAAATAATAAACTCATTTCTATTCTTTCATTCGCATGTATGTTTTTAATGATTTTTTGTATAGATATTTTAATTTATATATAAATTATGCCAAGGATTATCTATGTAAATACGTCTACTAAGTAGGGGAGATAATTTCGTATTTCTTATTAACCCGGTAAACGCCGTTCAGACGCAATTAAAAAGCTAGAATCTCGAATAATTTATAGGTGGGCTCTCCCAACAAGTATAATTGATTTAACATAATCTTTCCGCTTACATTTTGCTATGTATCTGTCCCATAATTTTTCAGCCTTATTATAAACAATAACTGAGCGGCAGTCTGGCAAATAGTCATTTGACATAAAACTGTGTAAAAAGCAGAGTTGTGATATTTTGGAAATAAAACGCATCCATTGAAAATCGACATTTATGGAAAACAAACAGTGGATGTGAGCACAGTAATTTAGAAAGTTGCTAGTTTTAAAAGGGATTTGTGGCAAGTGATATGTGTACACAGTATACAGTCTCTGTATAGCCTATCGAGGTGAATAATAGTGCTTTGTAGCGGAAAAATTATTCCATTCAATAGTTTCAATGCATACTCTTTATCTATTCTTTCGATGGAAAGAAATATTAAGTTTTACTTTCGGAGCGTCCTTTCTCATTTTGTGTGTGTGTATCTGCTTGCGAGTGAATGCGCTTTTATGTATATGTGTATATATTGTACCTATGTGTATGTCTCTATTTGTTTGTGTATAGCGTTTAAAGAGCGCGATGCGTAGGGTGGCTGTAAAACATGGCGTCATCTGCAATATATCATCACTGATGTTCAAGTAAATGGAAACTGATTGTTAATAATAAGAAACGATGTTGGTTAACGGTGCAATGGAAACCATCTGGGATCATGAGCCCCCTTGGGGTGAGTTGGAATCTAAGCCCTGTGGTTCTGGATACTTATGTGCGTTGAAAACAAATACACAGAAGAGACGGGGGGAGAGAAAGAGGGAAGAGAACTAGATAATGAGATAAATACATGTATATATTTCTATATTTGTAGTTATTATCAATATCTATCTATCTATCTATCTATCTATCTATCTAGCTAGCTAGCTAGCTAGCTAGCTAGATGGCTATCCATCTAACTATTTAGCTAGCTAAATAGTTAGATGGATAACCATCTTAGCTTATCTTTTGCTTAGCGTTTTAATCTCGGGAACTGATGCAGCTGATTTTGTTTCATGTTGATTGCTCTATGATTGCGATTATGTGCCGTGGTCCAGTATGCATCCATTTGTGTCTGTGTTTTTTTAAGTCCTTCTTTGCCCCAGTAGTTTATTTTCTGTCCGTTTATTCCAGTTTCTTTCTCTCTGTCCTATCTATCACTGTATACATATTTAAGTGACGGATTTATATATATGAATAGCTTTCTTACTTTTAAACCATAGACAGAGAAGTGCCTCAGAGAAATGGTAGTAGTGTAATAAAAAGGAAGATGACAAGATGGAGAGGAAAAAAAGAAAGAGAAAGGAAGATGTTTACGGATAGATAGATAGATAGATAGATAGAGAGAGAGAGAGAGAGAGAGAGAGAGAGAGAGGAGGGAATAAGAGTATAAATATTTGAAAATAAAATAAGAAGAAAAGGATTTATGAAAGATTCGAAATAAATAGATTTTATTCTTTTATCTTCTTCATCCTGATGTATCCAGTTGGTCCCTGTCAGTTTGTCACTAGGGTTTATACTCTTTCCCCACTTTTCTCTCTCTCTCTCAAACACACACACACGCACACGCAACTATACACACACGCACACACAACCATACACACACGCACACACAACTATGACACACACAACCATACACACACACACACACACACTGAGTAACAGGTATACACATAAACAAGTGAACATTACGCATCCCTGCAATAGAAGTTATCAATGTATGCAGACATATATTTATAGGCCTAAAATAATCACATGCAAACATAAAAAATTTATGAACACATATGGGATTCTTCAAATAAAAGATAAATACATGCGTACATTTTGAACATCTTTATTTATAAAATTGAACTCAATAAGCCGACAACCGTATCCCAAGAAAAGGAAACCGTTTATATTTAATCAATAAAATCAAGTTGACTTTCCAATCATGACGACTCTATTCTGCGTCTACCTCTGTGGATAATCTTACAAAAATAGATAACAAGCGGTTACTTTTCTTTTATCAATTTTATTGTTTAAAGTAACATCAAGGCGGATCGTAAAAAAAGAACCTGAACTGATGGACGTCTTAATTTCTGAGTAGCAAAGTTTGCGAGGAAAATTGACAACGTGTCTGTATTAGTTTCTGCATCCTAATATCTACGTGTGTTTCAGATTTATAATTCTGTGTGTGATAAATAAGAGATAAAAATTGATGAAAACGATTTTTTTAAGTATACATGTTTCTTTTCAGAAAATACTTGTAGAAAATACGCCATCTTGGATTGAATGGGACGAAAAAGTGGATTATAGATGATTATTAGTATATGTGTCTGCATTATTGAGTGCGTTCATGTATTTCTATATGTGAATGTATATTTAAAAAGAAAGAAACAAGATTTTAATGCTTGTTAAAGTGCTTCATTGTTATATAATATTTATATACATTTCCTAGTATATATTGATTGATTCCTCAGAGTACAGTGTTGGTTTGTCGTTCTATTGACACTGGGGTCATTGTTTGTAAATGTGAGAGATTAGTAGATGAGGTCTGGGCTTGCGAACCTAGCTATGTTCGACTGTTTACGCTTGAGGGCTTGGAACGTGCCGGACACTGCCAGTCGCTCACGGAGCGATAATCGGAATATGAGAAAAATGTCAGTGGATAAAAGACGGGAAGGAAAGAGAGAGAAGCGGGTATGTGAGATATAGGAAGAGAGAAAGAATGATAAAGATTTTCTTTTATGCGATATATATTTGTAACCTCTTTGTTATCCTTCTGTCTTCCATCCTATCTTCATATTTATTTGATGGAGTCAATATATTTTCTATAACTCTCCTTCAGTAAACTTTCCATATGTCCAAAGAATGAGTTTATTTATTCATGAAACGATTTTCACATTTTCCTAATATCCAATGATTTACTCTTTCCCTATCTATCTATCTATCTATCTATCTATCTATCTATCTATCTATCTATCTATCTAAACCCCGTAAAGGGGTAGGTTTGTTGGTTGCTATGATAATTTTTGCTACTAGAATTAGTTTCAACTTAAAAGGGAAAAGCGTGAATTTTAAGACACGTAAACCATTCCTCGTTAGAGATTTGGCAACATATTATTATCCTACGCTCTGTATATTCTTTTCAGGTCAAATATGATAATAATATGCATATTTGTGTGCATACATGTATTCAGTCTTGTTTTTGTTTTTCAATGTGTATGCCTATACATGTATATATATTATATAAATATTCACACTTCTGTCTTTATTTGTATGTATATATGTCATAATTATAATTCAGTAGATTCCAATTCGTATAAAACTCAACATCTGAATGTCTTTATTCTCCCTCCTAATACTTTCCCCGAATTCTACAGATAGCATCCTTTTTTCTTCTCCTTTCCATTTTCTCTCAATTCTCTCGCATTTTCCCGTACATTGCCATTCCAGCATGTAAACACATGTTATCACAAGACCCAACAGTCTTGTGAAAGTTGCACGAAATCCAAATACGCATATATTACATGTGCATATTTGAGTTTGTGTAAATGTATGCCTCTCTAAGTCCCTATATATATATATATATATATATATATATATATATATATATATATATATATATATATATATATATATATGGTTATATATGTATATAAATCTTTCTAAGAATGCTGTAAAATATGCCTTTCTGTGTTAGATGCCCGAGGTATATGACTAACCTTTATGTCAATGCCGTAACGGAACTAAATATTGTGATTACAAAACCAAGTAGTTCTTGAAAGAATGAGTTTTCTTTATCATCATTCACAGCTTCTATCCCGTTTAATTTCGTAGTGTGCCCATTCTTAAATATTATTAATTATAGTTCAGATTATAAGTAAGCAAATATTCTTGATGTCTATAGAGAATTCAGTTTGAAAGTGATATTCGCTACCCGAATTTTAAAAGAGTTGTATCTATTTTCCAAAGTTGTTTAAGAACATTTTACAACTCAGCCGAAGCTCTCTCTTCCTCTGTTATGGTAATTAAGCTTATATTGATTTCATTTAATTGTGACCTCAATATTCACTGTGTCTTGCGCTATTGACAACCTTGTACCAGACAACTCGACGAAATTTTATTTATTTAACTGATAGTATACAAAGAAGAATTTATATCAGTTTCTTCTTTACAAATCATACACGGATAAAAGATTGCAAGTTTATGTGTATGTGTGTTCTGACGATATTACTTGGAAAATATCTTGTGAGTATTTTTCCTCCTCAGTGTCAATTTGTAGCGGTACATTCGTGTGGGTTTATATTTACAAACGCGTTTTTCATGTCTATTGAATAAATCAGTGTCCTCGAGTACAAGGGTAGTGCTATACAAACAATGCATTTCATAACGACACAAAAGATGGCGATAGATGTTGATAGAAGGGCACACTCATCTAATTCTCTTTCAAAATAAATCCAACAATTATTTGTATCATTCTTTCACTAAACTTTCGTCACTTTTGCGACAAATTTTATAGCTCTGTCGTTAGAATGTTTAATAGAAAATTGTAGTTTACAATCTCCATGGATACTATTAAAAGGATTTAAAATATGTAAAATAAATTAATATAAAATGTAAATATTTAATTAGACAGGTATGTTTCAGTGGACAAAGAATATTGCGTTAAAATGTCTGGAAAGAGAAAAGGAACGTAAAGACTGAAATCAAAGAACAGCATGACAAGAGAAGGGTAAGAATTGTAAAATGGATTGAAGATATAACGATTTCCAGATACTGACTACCAGTTTTGAACAATTATACTGTACTACTAATATTTTATGAATCAAGAATATGTACATGAAAAATAAACATGTGGATATCAGTTTTGTAGACTTGCACTTGATAACGTTTATTTGATAAGAAAGATGAGCAAAAGTAGAAAAAAAGAATTGTTCTCAGAATTGTTTACAGTTATTTTCATCGATATAAGCAAAGTTGTGATATTGATAAACATGGAGCTTGTATATTCAATAAGCGCAAATCTAGCATGAAATCATAGTCTAGTGGCTCACATGGTAAATTTGATATATGTTGGTGCCACAAAAATGCTACAAAACCATTATTATTTAATATTATTATTCACCGTGTCTCTAACTGCTTCCGAGTTCAATATTGTTATGCCTGTCTGTTTTTCTTCCATTATTCATTAGTTGTGTTGACCCCATCAAAGTTTAGCAACACGGGAGAGACCACTTTTAGAGAGAAACCTGCATTTGGATTTAATGTGATATGAAGGAACTGTTTTATTGTTGGACAAGAATCTGTTTTTTACTAATATATTCATCGCATTACAATTGTATTTGTTGTTAACACAGAGGTGAGAAGGTATTTTCAGGTACATGCCTTTCTCAGGAACATTAAAGACAGAAATAACTAAATTATCTGACAGGAATGCATGCATATTCTGGATTATTTCGATCCCAACATCTCCATCACTATCAGCATTCCGAATATGTAAAAAGACTTTCTTACGTATGACCTGAAAATACTTTATTTTCCAGCTTTCTTTTCGTCTATTCTTTTCATGTTTAATATTTCTTTTCGATAAGCATTTGTTTCGAACTTTCTTCATATTTTTCTATTTTCTCATTTCTTCCTGATACATCATCTTTTTCCTTGCTTTCTATCTTATTCCTCATCCCCTTTCAATCTATTCTTACTTATCTCTCAGCTCCTTCCATTTCGACCTGTTGCCCAATCCTATATATACGAAGTCATTTGCTCAGTACACTCGACCATCATCAAAGGGGTGACAAGCTCTGCACAATATTAGATAAATCCGACCCATAAACCAATCATTTAGTCGAGGATTAGCGACGCATTCTTCGCTTCCTTTCTTTGGCGCGGGTCGATCCATGGTTGACGCCGACAAACGGCAAAGGATGGCGATCAGCAAAGTTTGCACAACGTGACATCTTGGTCATTCGAACAATACCACCACCCTGCTACCCAGATTCTACTTCATTTAAATGATCATAACCAAACCATTATCCGACTTCTTTCTTTTCACTTTCTTCCTCATATCTTTTTTTTTTTCGTTTTATATCATTCTTTTCTTTCCTTTATTCCTAACTTCAATTATTCTTTCTTTCAAATGTACAGTTTTGTTTATTTCACCATTCTAATCTTCTACTTTATTTTTCCTTCTTTCTTTTCCTTTATTGCTTTTACTTTTTTCTTTGCTCCAATCAATTTGTAAACTTCTAAAATTAATAGCTATGTATCAAATAAAATTACCTATCTCTTTTTTTAATAGAGGTTAATTATGCAACAGTAAGAGTGTATGTATATGTGTTTGTGTGTGTGTGTTTGTGTAAGTATGTATATGTCTAAGTATGTGCCTTTCTATTGGAACATTGTGCGTATGGCTATGTTTTGTATATGTTTATACCTTACAATTTCCATTTACAGTAACGTGATGAAATAATCAAATTACATCTCATAGATTTTGAATTAATGTTCAGTCATTCATATTTCGTATAAGTCTATTTGGATGTCAGAAAACAGCAGAGGATTTCTACGTCTGCTTTTCTATTTTTTCTTTTATTTTACTCGCGTTATCTGTTCGCTGTTCTTTCAAATATCCTGTTAGGTAGTAATATTATATGTATGGACAAACTTTAAAACGATGAAAAAAATGCCAATATGCTATAGCAAAGATAGAGAGTTATTTTTTATAGCCTATTTCAGTTCATACATATCTAACAAATTTGTACTTAAACACACACACTCACGCGCAGACACACACACACGCATATAATATGGATAAATATGTCTATGCATTTAAGCATTATATGAGATTTTAACACCTTCCACGCTACCTAATATCAATATCTTGAATACTGCTGTGATAAATTCTTAGATATCGATTATTTTGAGGGAATTCCATGCATATGAATGGATGTACATAAATATAATATGCATAATTAGTCAAATCTGTTGTTAAGGTCTCCAAGTACGACCTCAAATAAGGATCGACATTACTAAGTTTATGTTAATGGTGAACATTTTTGAAGAAGAACTTAACGGAAATAATTTATAAGTCTGCGTCAATAGATGAGCAACATGGGCAAGAACGATTCCATATTTCTTGGTGATTCTGTTCAGACATTTACGTATGTGTATATAGGCCCAAATACATAATTCTTTATAACTGTTTATTATAAACTGTTACATTGGAAGATGCAAGTTAAAAATATGCATTTCTGTCGTGGTAACTTGCATATTCTAATGTAACAGATTATAAGAAATATCTGTTGTTCTACGCTTGTATTGAGCCATTTTTTAAATTAATGTTAGCAACGTCTGAATTTATATTCTTTTCGTTCTTTTACATTTGGATAATTCTTTATAATTATAAATGATTGCACACTTATATGTATTTCTTTCAAATTAAAGCTTGGCATATTGATTGTTTCGTTCGTTTTCTGCGAGTTATCAAGCCTTTTTACAGGTTTTTTAATGCCAGAATTATTTTTAGATTTTAAGAATTTTGATGATGGCAGATAATAATAGTTTAGTGATACAAGTCTAACTAAATAACCCATAGTTTGGGAGGGAAGAGGTGGATTCATACCATTCCCAAGGCAATATAACGAATACAATGGCAATTGGACCTCTGATTTTCCATTAACTATTCCGAGCCTTTATACATTACACAACACATCCAAACTTAAAGCACCTGGTATTCCCAAGCGGTTACCCATCTAAGTACTGACCAGGCTCGACGTTAGTTAACTTCGGAAACCGATATTTCAGCGTGATGTGACCGTAAGCCAAAGCTTTACAGGTATAAACATGTATATATGTACATATATGAAGGCGAGTGAAGGTTTTCATTATTTTCAAATCATGGCTTCTACTGTATGAGCTTACAATAATGACACATACAAAAACGAATGCATATTATATATGTTTACACAATTGCAGAGGCTAATGCTTGCGAGAACAAGCCGAATTTGGCACAAGATCAGACTTATAGAAGATTTACAATAAACTCATTAGCAATAACTTGTAAATATAACATGAAAGTGATCAGAGCCATGGATCTCTATAGATACATTCATAACCATTGATATGGGAAAATACAAATGATATAATATTGCTATTAACAAAGATTAGTTTCGTCTGGCAACTATCGTAGATCAAAGTAGCTATTTTCCTAATCATTGTTCTATGGCAGGCACCATACATATTTTATAGACTTAACATCACCGTACGTTTAGAATGTTAGCGTTCTGAGCAGAAGACACGGGTTCGAATCTCGGTTTGTCAAGGAGGTGACCTCTCGGTAATATCGGCCCCGGAAGACCATACCAGTGTGCAGCATGGTTGGTAAATTCCTGAAAAACATATGACGGGTTGACCTAAACCATCTGAATTAAATTGAATAGATGAAATTGTTCGGAAACACAAATCACCGTGATCGAGTATTTCAGTCTGTTGATCACGCTAGATTATGTGCTCCATGCCAGAAATTGTAACGAAGGTTCGGTCAGTACAGTTACAGTATAGAGCATATTTTAGCTCTGTGTGTGTGTTTAAAAAAAAAAACATAAATGTACTTGAGCAGGCGTCAGCAAAAGGGGTTAGTTAGCCACTCTTGTAGACTCCATAGTCTCCCAACATACAATTTTATCTGGATGTGAAACAATCTCTGAGAATCAAAGTAACTAACAATGGCTACTAAATGACTGCACATGCGTTTGTGTCTGAATCGACTACATATAAACTTCTAAAATAAAACGGATCACTTGATATAGAATTATCAGAAACTTCTCTTGTTTCAAATTTATTTTTATGTCATTCATATTTATTCATATAAGAAACACTGTCCTATAGCAGAACCTAAAAAAAATATTGGCCATATGGAACAAAATATAACGAGACATTTATTTTTATTTGAGGACCTACATTGTTGGTGTTTAATTTTGTTTAGGCAAATATATTTTTATTTGGCGAGAGAGAATTCTGTAACGATAAATGATCCGCCAATCTTTTGTTCGTGTTGATTTTAAAACACTGGATGCATTTTATATGTGAACTGGGGCTAGCTTTATTTGGAAAAACAACGTTTCGTTATACAGAATTTGATCCGAGCGATATCGCAATTTTCGAATGAATGAACGCTGAGGTAATAAGGGATTGAAAAAATAAAGTAGAAGAACATAAAAAGAATAAGAAAAGAAAAGAAAGCGAAAGAGAAAATTTAAAAGATATATTTGAAATGAAGAAGAAAATAAAGACTATGCTATAAAGTGAGACTAAAGAAAGAAAAATAAAAACAATCTTACTTATATTCTTATATTCATGAAATATCAGAGTCTTATATGCGAAGTTGAGTTATTGGATTGGTTAATATTATTTACCTATCCGTCGTACACTAGCAGTACGTGTCTCTAGCCTAACTGCATATTACTGTACTATTAAATAAAAGTGTGTTTGTCGGGGAGGGGGTTCCAATGGTTCATCAGATACGGCATTTATAAATATTTAAGTAGAAAATATCTTTGAAAACATATATAATAAGCAGAACAGAAGACGACAAAAAGAATACACATTTTATTCCTTCAAAATTTTAAAAGAATGTATCAAAGTATCAAAAATAAAATTGCAGAATAAATAAAAAAAGAAAGATAAATAGAAAGAGAACCAACAAATAGAATAAAGTATGTGTAGAAAAAAAGAAAAGAATAAAGATCCAGGAATGAATAAGAGATAAAAAGACATGGGAATATATATATATATATATATATATATATATATATATATATATATATATGTGTGTGTGTGTGTGTGTCTGTCAGTGTGTCTGTGTGTGTGTGTCTGTATGTGTGTGTCTGTATGTGTGTTGGGGGGTGAGCTCTTATGAGGAATCCTTGAGGACTGACGGCTCGTAACAGGGCGAAAACCGAGTACTACTTAACGTTATCCGTATTGTTTACCGTTTCCCCGTCCAAACCATGCCATACACAGGCTACTTCTGACCCCTATGCAATCGTACGCTGCCTACAACTCCATCACCACCTTAAGTGATCCTACTTATTTTATAAGAGGGTACACACTTAAGCTTCCTACCCACGTACCAAACTCGCCGATAATACCCACTTATAAAGATGTGTAGGTATAAAATAAGCCTCATAATTCAAATGTGTATATTTATGATGGCAAATATCTCGATATTCAGTAAATCCAGATATAGATGCACGTATGAATACCATCACACTTTTAGCTTAAATATTATGTATATATGCATGCACACATAGATCCAGATAAACTTTCACACATACCTCTTCCTGCCCGCTGTTTCATAAATAATACTTACATACATAGAGAGGTAATTCACTGGTACTTTTATTTTTGCTGAAGAATACAGATATACATCATCATTTTAGCTACCCGGCTACGATTTCATCTTTTTGTTTCATTTGTGAAGTACACGCAGACAGACTTACACGCACACACACACACACACACACACACACACACACACACACACACACACACACACACACACACACATATATATATATATATATATATATATATATATAAAAAGCATGATAGTATATGAGGCTGATGGTGAAATTTATAATCCTGACACCCTTCCAAATGTCACTGATTTCTTTTTTGGCTGAAATGAGTACTTTTCAGCGCCCAATTGTGTAAGTGAGCATAGTTGGATAAAAATAATGTTGTAAAACTGAGAATAAGTGTGGTTGAATATTTTTAAAGCTTCAATATTTCTTCCCATTTTCTTCAAAACTGTTTTAGAATGACAAGACCATTTTTTGTGGAGGGTGCAATTGTAATAAAATTGTTTGCATTTAATTTGCCTACACACAATCTTAATCTTCC